TAAAGGGGGGGGGGGGGGGGGAGGAAGGGGGGTCAGGCAGCCCCTTGACCTATGCCCCACCCCCACCAACTTCTTCCCCACAGAAACCCTCTAGCCCCCTCCTTATTATCCAAGCCTGCTCTCCCTGAACATATGGAAGTGAGGGACAAATTTAAAACTACTGACTTTGAAAGAAATATGCCTATAGTAATCTGCATATTACACACTTTTAAAAAGCAATTCTCTACCTACTTATATACAGTACAAACTATGCATGATTAGTCCAAAGCACAAAGGCTCAGAATTTACCACAGAGTTCACTGGGATGGGCCCTAGCCGAGTCAACAGCATTTCAAGCCATCATGACCCCACAATTCAACATTACTCAGTATGTGTGCATACTCCAGATACCTACACCCCACCACAATGGGGCCAAGAGCTAATTAGCTGCCATTCATGACTGGAACCAGGTTCTTGTCAAGAGTTCTAGAAACCTCCAAAAATTTATATGCATGAGGCATGGGGCAACCTGGTCCAGTTCTACTTCATGGTGGGGCAGAACCACGCTAATCACGTGACAGGCGAAGAGAACAGGCAACAGAGGGATTCTGGGTGAACCGTTTGAGGCTGCTTTTGATTATGTTTGCCAGCCATTTAAGGCTGGTAAAGAAACAGTAATCACTGGAAATGGGAGACACGCAGCTCAGCTGTGGGAATGAAGAGGAAATCTAAATGTATTCAAAGTAGTGGCTCAACATGACCTGAAAAGATACATTGCTGAGGAAGACTCAATGCCAGGGACGCTACCGTTTATCTTATTCAGATGGAATAAACTAATCTATCCTTGTGGTAAAGACATATATTTTTACAAAAAAGATTCCCATCTGTATGTTTGCCTAATATGGGATGTGTTCTATATTCATGCTTAGTGCTGACTGCATTAGTGATGGAGAATGTTTTTAATGAGGCTTCCTTGTATGCAACTATAAGGCAAGGACCTACCCCTCTCATGCTGATTGCATGGAAAAAAACTTGGCTTACATGCAAGTAAATACAGTAAATCTGTAATGGAAATACTCCCAAGGTTAAAAAAAATCTGAGCAAATACACACGTGATGTTTCCTGATGAAAATACCAAACATTTCTAGTTTCCTTAAAATCTATCTAGCAAAATAAATATTTTTACCTGCCCTTCTTCTACCATTAATGGCTTTACTTCATCCACATCTCTACAAGATTGGTTATAGAACTGATTCATTTCAGCGTGCAGTTTTCTATATTCCACTTCATTGTCTACAAAAGATCCACATCCTTTCAGAATGACCCAAAAGCAACCTGGATCTTCAATCTAGTCAGAAAGTGAAGTGCAATTAAAACCACAAAAAGAAGAAACTGTACTATATCACTTTTTTATTATTTCTAAAACATCTTAGACAAATATAAATATTCAAGTAAAATTAGAAGTTCAAGTGAAAACTGATCTAAAGCAAGGGTGTCAAAGACGCACACTGCAAGCTGGATCCAGACTGCAGAGCCGTATCATCTAGCACAGTGGTTCTCAACCTATTTTGTAACACGACACATTTGTAAATATCAACGGCCAGTCCCAGTCCAGCGCTCCTCCTCCCAACCCGCTGCTCCACACCATGTAGGGCAAGGGGGGGGCCCAAGCAGCCCCTTGCAGGCTGGAACTCTGACAACCAGCAAGGGAAAAGCCACAGTTTCCCATGTTTTCCTTTTTTTAAAGGAGAATCCATTTTTTAAAGTTTAATCCATTCTTAAAGTTTGTTCACAAGCCTTTCATATACTCTTGGCAACTCACTTCTGGGTCACAACCCACAGGGTGATAAACAATGATCTAGCACACAGTGCTGCCTGCTATATGCAGGGCTTTAAACTAGGTTGGCCAGGGGATGGAGACCAAAGCCCTGAGGTAAGTGGGGAAGTGGATGACTTGAAGGAAGCACAAGCAGGAAGGGGGAACAAGGGAGGTGCACTCATGAGAAATTACGGTAATCAGCCGGTTACACCTCAGGTGCCTATACACAAATGTACAGAGCCTGGAAAACAAAAAGGAAGAACTGGAAATCCTCACACAGTCACAGAACTATGATGAGACTGAAATAACAGACACACGGTGGGAGCTTGCATGACTGGAGCAGTGTCATGAATGGGTATAAACTTTTCAGGAAGGACAGGAAGGGGAGAAAAGGAGAAGGACTTGTGCTTTATGTAAAGGACCATATGATTGCTCAGAGCTCCAGTATGGAACTGGAAATAGGCCTGTTGAAAGTCTCCAGGTTAGGGTCACAGGAAAGAACAACAAGGGTGACATTGTGGTAAGTGTCTGCTATAGACCACCAGACTAGGAGAATGTGGTGGATGAGGCTTTCTTCAAACAGCTAGTGAAAGTTTCCTGATCATAGACCCTGGTTCTCATGGGAATTTCAATCACTCTAACATCTGCTGGGAGGACAATACAACAGGGCACAGGCAATCCAGGAAGTTTCTGGAGTGTTGGGGACAACTTCCAGGTGCAAGTGCTGGAGTGGCAAGTGCTAGGGGCCATGCTCTTAACCTGCTGCTCACAAACAGGGAAGACTTGGTGGGGAAAGTAGTAGTGGATGACAACTTGGGCAGCAGTGACCACAAGATGACTGAGTTCAGGATCCTGAGGAAAGGAAGGATGGAGAGTAGCAGAGTAAAGGCACTGGACTTCAGAAAACCAGACTGATTCACTCAGGGAATTCATGGGCAGGATCCCCTGGGAGGTCAGTCAGAGGGGTGCAAAGTCCAGGAGAGCTGCTTGTACTTTAAAGAAGCTTTACTGAGAGTGCAGGAACAAACCATCCTGATGTGCAGGAAGACTAGCAAGTATGGAAGACGACCAGCTTGGCTTAGAAGGGAACTCCTCAGTACGCTAAATCACAAAAAAGAATCCTATAAATGGAAACCTGTCCAAATAACTAGAGAGGAGTATAAGAGTATTGCTAGGGCAGGCAGAAAGAAAACCAGTAAGGCCAAAGCACAAGGGACATGTAGAGTAACAAGAACCTCTACAAGCATGTCAGCAGCAAGTGGAGGATCAGGGAATGGGCAGGTCCATTACTAAGTGGAGGACGCAACCTATTTACAGGGAATGCAGAAAAAGCTAAAATAACTCAATGCTTTTTTCACCTCAGTCTTCACAGGCAGTGTTAGCTCCCAGACTACTGCACCTAGCAGCACAGTTTGGAAAGGAGGTGAGCAGGCAACAGTGGTGAAAGAACAGGTTAGGGACTATTTAGAGAAGCTGCATGTGTACAAGCCCATGGGGCTGGATGGAATGCACCTGAGGGTGCTGAGGCAGTTGGCCAATGGGACTGCAAAGCTGCTGGCCATCGTTTTTTAAAACCGGGGCAACTGAATAAAGAGCAAATATAGCACCCAGCTTTAAGAAAGGGAAAAGGGAGAAGCCAGGGAACTACAGACCTCTGCCTCACCTCAGTCCCTGGAAAAATTATGGAGCAGGAATCCTCAAGGAATCCATGTCTAAGCACTTGGAGAAGACGGTATTTAGGAACAGTCAGCATGGATTCACCAAGGGCAAGTCATGCCTGACCAACCTGATTGCTTTCTATGACAAGATGACCAGCTCTGTGAATGTGGGGAGTCCAGTGGATGTGGTAACAACGACCGTAGCAAGGTTTTTGATATGGTCTTCCACAACATTCTTGAAAGCAAACTAAGAAAGTTCAGGGTAGTAGTCAATGGCTCGATGTCTAGCGGGCAGCTGGTATCAAGTCCAGTGCCCCAAGGGTCAGTCCTGGGGCTGGTTTTGTTCAATATCTTCATCAGTGACCTGGAACATGGGATAGAGTGTACCCTCAGCAAGTCTGCAGATGACAACAAGCTGGAGGAGCAGTACATATGCAGGAGGGTAAGGCTAGACCTCAATAAATTGGAGGATTGGGCCAAAAGAAATCTCACGAGGTTCAACTGGCTAAACAGCAACTCTGCAGAAAAGGACCTGGGATTTACAGTGGACAGTAATGTAAAGACCTACCGCATTCATGGTAGAAGTGGACTGCATAGCAGCTCTTTTAATCTTGCAGGCTCCCCACCCCATCCTGTTGCTGATTGACTAAGGGGTCCCAGTGGCCCTGCTACTTGGTGCTGACTAGCCAGGATGGAAAAACAGCACCATATTTAAAACAAGTTTTCGCCTCCCTTCCAATCAGGAGTGAGTAATGGGGCCCAGGGCTCCTCCACCAATTGACAGAGGAATGTGCAGGAGGAACCTGCGAGATTAAAAGGAGCTGCTGTGCAGCCCACTTCCAGCATGAACTTGGTAGGTCTCTAGTAATGAGCCAACAGTGTGCCCTTGTTGCAAAGAAGGCTAATGACATACTGGACTGAATCAGTAGAAGCTCTGCCAGCAGGTCAAAGGCAGTGATTATTCTCCTTTATTCAGCACTAGTGAGGCCACCTCTGAAGTACTGTGCCCTGTTTTGGGTCCCCCACTGTGGACAAATTGGAAAGAGTCTAGCAGAGGACAACAAAACAATTAGGGGGCTAAGGCACATGACTTCTAAAGAGAGGCTGAGGAAACTGGGTTTGCACACTGACCCTAGCCCCACATGCTGCATGTGGCATGCAAAGCCCATCTAGCACAGGTTGCACACAGCAAGGGGGCAGTCTGGGGCGCACATTGCACATGGTGCCCATACTAGACCAGACCTGCACGCTGGATCCAGCACACAAGGCCAGTCAGGCATGGGCACCATATACAGTACACATCTAGGACCAGCACCATACACCACACACCACATGCTGCAGCAAGCTGGAACCAGCTGCACACATCACACAGGGCTAGTGTCTGGGATGCAGACTGCATGTGGCACTCATGCCAAACCAGCCCTGCACACTGGATCCAGGGACAATCTGGATTGGGTCCATACACTGGCCCCACATGCAGGATCCAATGCACAACGCCACATGTAGCACACACCCCAGACTGTTGCCATACACTGTGCAGAGTGCACACCCCTAACCAACTCCATATACCACACGGACAGTCAGTCCAATGCCCACAGCATGTGGCATGCAGGTCCAGTCCAACACCCATGGCTGCACAGCAAGTTGGATAATAGGGTTCCACAGGGCAGATTTCTGATACCTTTGGTTTAACTCATCCAAAAGGACTGTTAGTTAACAATTACAGAAAAACATTTCTCTCATTTTGCATGTTGTTTACTAACTTATTAGAGGTGCACTGATACATCGGTCCAGCATCAGAATGGCACGGATATGAAGAAAATTGGCTGTATTGGAAATCAGCCCAATGTGGCTGATAATTTTGCCTGGATATGCCTCTGCCTGCATGCAGCTGCAGCACAGCACACAGGCAGCGAGGAACACAGCCTGGCAGCTTGGAGAGTTGCATGCAGCTGTTAAGTTCATTGTAGTGGAAGGGGAGTGGTGAAGGAAGGGGCATGGGGAAGGCAGATCAATGCCCCTGCAGTGAGGGAGTGGGGCACGGGCAGGCACTGCCTAGTCAGGGGGGAGTGGCGTCGGATAGAGCTGCAGCTCATCTGCGGGGGGCAGGGCATATGCCCCCTGGCACGCAGGCTGCAGCTCTGGGCTGGAGCTGGGCTCTTCTCGGTGGGGGCTGGGCTTGGGGCAGAGAGCGGTGGCACTGGAAGAGGCCTGCACCCACCCCAAATTTTGCCGTAGCCCCACTCCCAGCACTGCTGTCGCCCACCCGCAATTCAGTGCAGCCCAGGCTGTCCCCCCACCTCCCCAGGAAGAGTGTGGCACAGCCCCCAGCCCCAAACTGCAGCTGCAACCTGCACCACGCAGATCCAGGGGCACCCCCCACAACACACCCTCCTGGGCTGCAGCCAGCAGCGGGAGCTGCTCCCCATCCCTGTGCCCTCCAGATGAGCCACAGCTTCATCCTGTGCCTGCCCCGCCCCAGCTGGACAGCACCTACCCCAGTCCCTCCCTCACTGCAGGGGGCATTGATCTGTGCCCCCATGCCCCTTCCACCACAACAGATTTACCAGCTGAATGCAGCTGCATTGAAGATAGGATCAGTATAGGCCAATATGCCTCCTTAAAAATCAGCTATCAGCCCCCAAAATTTTTATCAGTGCACTTCTCGTTACACTCACATCACTGCCTAGCCCTGTTATTTCAGTGAGACTTCACAGAAGTAAAAGGGAAAATTTATCTTGTATTCTAATATATTTTAGAAGACTTCAGCATACCAATATATTTGTTTTCAAAAGTCAACATACCTTTAATATCAAAACTTCAATCATTGTTATCAACTGAAGTCCTCTTCAGCAATGCTGTAAAAGATAATCAAGTAAAAAAAAAAACCTAGCAATTTTTATAGCAATCATTAATCTTGAAGTTAAAATTACCAGCGCTTCCCATACCTCAAAAGCCTTCACACTTGCAACAGGTCCACAAATTTTGTTCACTTCTAAAGATATCCAGATTTAGATCTGTTGATTCAGCCATCATAACGTAAGTCATACTCTCTAAATGAAAACTTAACCTTAATTTTCAAAATTAAACTACCCCAAAATTAACCATATTTGTTCAATATATTTGGTTACTACAGCAACGTACTTAGCATACTCAACTTATTTTGACACATCTCACGCTCTTACACTGAAGTTCACAGGAAAATTTTGCCTGACCGTGGAAAACTACCAGTTAGCTGATCTTAAGCTAGTATTTCACAGACAGCAGAACACCTTCATAAAGGTGGTGGGAAATCTAATTCAAAATCCCTCAGGAAGAAAGAGAATTTGAAGCAAATTTCTCCAACAGGAATAAATGATATTCTAACCACTAAGCAAGTCCAGGATAGGGTCTTTTCCTAAGTATGTTTTGTGCAGGATCTGATCTAAGAACACCTAACGAACAAACCCTACAAGCATGACGTTCAAACACATAATCATTTTTTGTTTATACTAACTGTTCTAGACACGAGACAGCAAAGTGCTGTCAGGAGTTAGCTGGCTGGGCACACATGCAATAGCAAAATCTGTGGCACCTAAGCAGGAGTTTCATGAATAACACTAGCACTGACGGCCCTCTTGTGAATTTAGTCCCAAAGACCCATTGGTGAATGAAATCAAGCAAAAGATTAAAAATAAATGCATTGTTCAACTCTCCTTTTAACTCTATACTATCAATAAACAAGCTATTTTTTCAACAAGATTTGTAAACAGAAATTTAGAAGCTAGGTTTAAAATAAAAGGTGTACTGTACTAGTCTGGTTAGAAAATTTATTCCTAGGTTTTAGGAAAAGTAAATACTTTCATGCCATACTACTTTTTAAAATAGAGTCACCTTAGGAATTGCAAGCACAAAGGGCTGAAATAAGCATTTCAGAATGAAAATGGAGGCCTAGACAAAACTATATAGAACAAGAGTCGATGAGGAAAAAAGTGGACTTTGCTGGAATGTTTGACCCAGAAAGTTAGACTGTACATTTTACCTTGGCAATTAAAACTGATGTAATCCACAAGTATTTCACTGCTCCAAGATATGCAATGACCTTCCTTTATTTGCCTTGTGTTTTTATTCCCCCTTTCAGCTTTTATCTCATGTTGTTTGTTCAAGCTATTCTCATGCCTTCTATGTCTGAATCAGCTGCGCTGTGTCCGAGGCTGTAGAAGTGAGAAAAAAAAGACAACATAGATCCTATTTGCTTCTGCCATGTGTTTCTTTTGTCTGCTCATGATTTTTTTCTACTATTCTACTTCCTCGGTGTTTCTTTCTCCCTTCTACCATCACCTGTTTCTTTTCTCCTCACGTAAGGATACAGAAGAACAAGTTGCTGTACTCTCCCCAAATTCTGCTCAATCCCAAAATGAAACCATTAGTAAAACCACCAGAAATTATTCAGGCCAGATACCGCACCCCTGGCCAGGCAAAGCTGAAAGGCCCCATCCATGGAGAATGTAAAGCACAAAGCCTACAGTTATACTGGCTTTTTGCCACTCATAACCATCACCTACTCAAAAAGCTGCAATCTATTAAGACATTACCAGAACTCAAAACAGTTCCAATTTTATTGCTCACTGCACAAAAATCCTCTTTGCATCCTCAGCCACCACCACAATCACTAGTGTTTGACTGGATGAGCCTGAATGAGCCTGCCAGTCCATCAAATTCCTCAACGCACAGCCTGCGGGGTGGGGGGAAGCTTCTTCCCATGAAGACTAACATAACCTTTAAAAACTACTGGATCTTCCAAATGTTTATTGATGGCAATTCAAAGCCAAAGCAAGCAGAGGGACAACTTAGCTACGCTCAAGCTTGCTAGTTACAGAGCAGGACACCACAACATCCACGTCCTCAGGACCTCCAACAAAAGACCCCCAAGGATCCACTGCCCTTTTGCAAAGGGGAGGGGGAATTTCTGCTCCTCCACCTGCAATTACCCTTTGCATTGAGGGTGCATTTTTCCCCAAAGCATCCATTTTTTATTTTTTTTGGGGTGGGGGGTGGAATCTCTCTCCAGTGTCCCAGCATTGTCTTCCTTGCTTGGAAGACGACCTGCGAGGGGATTGGTGCCCTCTACAGCCAATGTAACGGGCTCCCAATACCCAGCAGAGGTGTGAGGGAAGGAGGGAGAGGAGAGAAGAGGAGAGGAAAGATGCGCTTCCCCCTGCACATGATGCAAGAGCCACCTCGCTCCGCGAGCGGGGATGAAGCATGCAGAGCACGAGGGCCGAGCGACTGTATTCGAGGGTGTAAACGAGCCCCCTCCGCTCCGCCGACTGCAGCCCTGCCAGCACTCACATCCCGGCCAAGCGCCGTCACCCCAGCGCCCTGCCCAGAAGCTTCCAGAAGCCCCGCCCCTGCAACGGCAGATTCTCTACTGAGCCTGCGCAATGGGAGCAGCAGCGCGCGGCGCGCCTTCACAATGGGGGGCTGTGCTCAGCGAATCTGGTGCGCCTGCGCAATGGGGGCACTGATACCCAGCGGGCCTGTTGCTCTTACACAAATGTATCCCCTCCCCACGGCCAGCGGTGGTTTACCATCCGCCGGGCAGGCGCAGAAGCTGAAACGTAGCACGGTGGGGAGAGGGTGGGCGCCAATGGGGTAGAAAAGTACTAGGCTCCGCGTGGAGCCAGGAGTGGGAAGGGCTGGTTCCCTTGTCCTCACACCAGTCGTGACAGCGTCTGCAGACACCCCTGTGCCCCGTGGGGTGGACCTGGATGTCATTCGGTGCACAAGTCAGTTGTTCGGGGGAAGGGAAGCATGTGTCCTCCCGCCCTTCATGTAACCCCATCCCTTCCCCTTCCATTTCTGCCTCCCCTCTGCCAGGGTTAAAGAAAAACAGCTAAAGTCTTACTCTAGGCAGGATGTGGAGACCAGGCATCTTCAGGAGCTGGCAGATCATTAAAGCCACCTCAGTTCTTATGCAGCAGTCACGGTCTGCAGCCTTCCGCAGCTTCGCTTCAACTAACTGTCAACTTTTTACTCATTTGGACCTAAAAATGTTTATTGTACACATATCCCATCTAAGTGGCTTAGTAAGTCTCCCTGGCATTGTCTCTGCTTTCCACACCAACGCAGGCACCTTGTCCACTTTGTACGAAGTCACCCAGAAGGCAAGGCAGGGTGTTCTTCTGAGAACGAGTTGATCTCATAGGCCCACTTCAGTGTTGGCGGTGGGCACATGCAGATGTTAAAAGAAAGGCCCTTTACTTTAAACATGGCATGTTCCTGCACCAACCCCGGGCATGCCTAAAAGATGCAGCGCGTAACTTAACCCAGCTCTGCAGCATCTCTGAAGATCAGGTGCTTTTTCTGGTGCTTTTGGCCCCAGGTGAACTTTTTGTATCTGGCCCCCTTTTACCAGAAATAATAGTAATAAAATCACCGTTTTCAGGCCCCCTTTCTGTCCAGGTCCCAGGCGACTGCCTGGTTTGCCTATGCCTGTGTCCGGCCCTGCTAATAACAGAATCAGCTTTAGGTAAAAGCACCAAAAAGCCCCACTGAAGCACCTCATCTTTACAGATGCTGGAGAGCCAGGTTTAAGTAACACACTCTGCTTCTGGTAAAGCTCAGTTCATCTGTTTGGTTTTTTAACATCTGCAAGCAGCCAGAGATCTAACATGTAAAACCAAAACAGAAATGGCTCAAGGGAGCTAAGAACTCACTAATTTTTTTTCTGGTGGGTGCCTGAGCCTCAGAGCACCCACAGAATTGGTGCCTATGGTTAATCTCTAAAGTGCCATCCTATTCTGCCTACTGGGTAACTTCAGCCCCTCTTTATTAAATTCTGCCTGTTTCAGCTTTGAAGCTCCCCCTGCTGGATACTTTTTTTGTTTAATTCAGTCTTTTAGAATAGTGCTTCTCAAAGTGGCGGTCTGCGGACCGGCCACCAGTCCTCAGCCAGTTGCCAGGAAAGAAAGAAATACATTCGTCTGTCTGCAGCAAGTTGCCAGGAAAGAAATAGTTCGTACGTCGTGCCACAGTTCGTACGTTCCAACACTCCAGGTGACGTCACGTCGTGCAAGGTGAGGAAAGAGAAAGAAACAGCTGGTCGTGCATTTGTGTAGTGCTGTTACACGCAGTTGCTGCCGGCCACCAGTCCCTGGCTCACTGGAAAAAAAATTGCCGGTCTGCCACGTCAGATAGTTTGAGAAGCACTGTTGTAGGATACAGAAACTATGTGAAGGAAGAAAATGCAAACCGCTCACTTCTGAAGATTTAGGCATTTATATTTTTAACGGCTCTTCTCTTGACACTTAGAATGGTTTATATGAGAACATGCTATTTCTTTAATATTGTCAATTATCCTGATGTTTGTCTTCTATTAAGAAATGAGCCTTTATTTAGTTTGGTCTAATAACAGCTTAATTTAAAAATGTTTTAAAGTTAAAAAAAATCCTCTTCCTATTACAAAGTAGAAAACTTCAATTATAGAGAAGGAAGATAAAGCAGGTACAAAAACAACCACCTCATTAAAAATACCAAGTAAATTTTCAAAGAACTTTTTCTGTTGCAAAGAACTTAGAAACAGGCCAGAATGTTTTTGACACTATAGATTCCTATTTGAAATACCTGGTTTTAGCTTGTGAATCACATGTAAGTGTTTGCCTACCTAATGGTGCTAATATTACATGGTCGACTGTGTCACCCCTAAAAGGACTGAGTGGCACCCTAGGCTGCTGAGGCACCCCAGTTGAGAATCATTTCCTTACACATAGAACATGCTCCTTAAACTAACCCCTAAAAGTCTGCTCTTAAGATTTATTTTGAATGCAGTGCCTAGAGGATAGGCAATAAAATCTGCAGGGCGTGGTTAACTGTTTCAATTAGGTTAATTTTTAAAATCACAGGATATAAATAAACCTAAGATAAAGAGCAGAAGTCCATGAGATTGTTTTTATTTCTGTTTCTCCTAACTGTGTTCCAACTGTTATAATCATTTGTTGCATTTTATCTGACGGTACACTCTTCAGGGGAAAGGATTTTTTTTTACACTGTGGAAAGGCTAACATAATAGATCCACTAGTTTGGACTGGGAACCTAGGCACTATTGTAACACGAAATAATTATTATTGCAGCACTTTTTGCATTATTTTATGGGTATGTTTTCAATACAACTTCTATAAACCATAACTACTGCTAGTTCAAAATCTGCAAATTTAGCTAAGAAGACTTTCATTGCCCATTTATATTGACAGATGAGCTTCAAAAACATGTTCAAACTGGGACATGTAAGTTAACAACACAAACATTAGCATGTTCCTACTCTTGTTCTCCTAGTACCTGTGTAAGTATTCACCCCTAAAAACAGAAACAATTTGAGATACTAAATAAAAAGGTGCATTATTTTTGTTCCTCAACTCCACGTTCCTCTTTTCACCTTACTGTCTAGTAAAACAAACGTTACCAGCTGAATCTTTTTCCATTACAATCTGTTTCATCAAAACAGAGGCTTTTCACTAAAATGGACAATATTTTAAATGAGAAAGCATCAGAATTTGGGTCAATTCTCTGGTCATTGGATGATTAAAAAAACCCTGACTTTTTAAATCCAGTAAGACACAGTTTAATTTCATAAATATATATTTTAAAAGGTTTTATTTTCATTCCAGTGTGCAACAGAAACAAACTTTAAAACTTTCAAAGTTGTAAAAAACTTATCCTCTGTACAATTCTAGTGGCTGGCCCTTAATCATAACTGCTTCTCCTTCCATGCGTAGTACAGAGAATCTTATACAGATCCCCTGTCAGTATCTCTCTTCTAAGAAATCTCTCTCTCTCTCTCTCTGTGGGCTAACCAAATGTAAGGAAGCTAAAGTAGCCTTCTGATACAAGACTTGCATTTTGTAAGGCAACATACATTCTGTATAAGTCACAAAACAAAACTTGAAAGGTTAAGCATGACAGTAGGTATTTCCAAGGCACCACACTTCTTCAGTTGTTCATAAGGATCACTTGCACAGTAAAATACATTTCTGTATTCTTTTCAGAACTATGCAGTAAATAGTTTATTTTTCATCTTTTCTAAGATGATAAAATCTTTAAATTATGTATGACACTAAATGAAGAGAACAGCTTGTCTGCTCAAACTGTCAGCTCAGTCTGATAGCAAGCTGTTTTTAGTCTGGAAGGTTTAAAAGTCTAAAAAGCTGTTAAACCTTAAAGTGTTTTAGTAATGAGTGTTGGAAACTCACTTAAACTAAATTGTACTGACCATAAACACAGAATTTATAAAAAGTATTCAAAAACAGAATAAATTAACACTAGTTAACAAAGTTCACTTTATGCACAGATGTTCAGATTCCCAAATATGAGAGTTGGAAATAGATGTCACAGAATAGAAAACTTAAATTACAGTTCCATGTGCCTCGCTGTCTGTTGTAACTTTTTAAAACACAGAAAAGAGAGCTTGTTGAATTCAGAACATGACAGGCATTTTTGTTTTCAATGAGAAAGTACAATTTAATTGCATCACTGTAGTCCACTGTAAGCATATAAGTGGCCTAGGATGGACAGGACAAGATTAGGAAAGGTCAAATACAGCCATTCACTGACCCACAAAATCAAGTTGGTAGCTTATTATGGTGATGTTCTCACTGAACATATCAACATCACACTTGGCACATTTGTTCAGTTTCAATTTCAGAGAGATCTAAAATTAAGTAGGAGCTTGATCCTTCCTTTTACCCAGAGAGGTAAGCTCCCCAGAGTTGATGTAAATTTTAGGACAATGCAAAAAAGCCTGTACTGCTGAACTTTAGCCTTCAATACTATCTGCTCAGCAACTGTCACAAAAGACCAAACGTATACAAAATAAACATATATTTTCTTAAATATTGACTGAAAAAGCAGATACATATTATAGTCTGCTATTGCAGTCTTCATTATTTCCTAATAGACTAGAGTCCATCAATATTGGATTGATGTGTTTATATTTTGGTTGGATATTCACGTAAACTGCAAGACTGTTAAGATCTTTTATTACTATCCGATGAAGTCTACTACCCTCCTTCATTAGATCTTCAACCTTCTTATCTGTTGACCAGATCATTTTCTTTTCTCCTGTATAATCTGGATCTTCTGGATACAGCTCATCTCCTGAAAAACATTATATTTTAATTATATATAAAACATTTTATTACTCTGATTTGCGCTTTGCTGGTTGCTACATTATCATTAGGATATGAAGCAGTGTAGGAACAATGTTCAGAGTACAATGAGATTTAATCAACTCCAATCTTTCCTAATTGAAGATGCCCCAACACTGGAAGTACCGTATGTTGAAATACAATTTTTTGGAGTATAATGGGACATTCAAGTTCAAAGCCTCTTTTTCCAGGCACTAAGAAGCATTTAAAACCATTCCATTGTATGCAAAAAGTATTTTAAAAACTCACACATTAATTATTA